GCGGTTTAGCTGATATTACTAAATCATTTTTTTGCGTGTGGAGAGTGAGATAATTTCTTACAAATTCTTATTAATATTGCAACATTTAGAAGAATTAAAAAAAAATTGAGTTCAACATTTTTTTTCTACATTGATTAACGTTTAATTAAAAAAAATCCCGATTGCTATAAAATTGCTATAAAATTGTGGTCTCTAGCGATTTTTGAGAAGCACATTTCTATTTGTCGCCACTGTGCATCGGGCTGTCCGATCTTAACCTCCAAAAGGAGGGGTTCTTTCCAAGCGCGGAGACGTTGGGAGATCAGCAGTCGATCGAAAGGTCGCTACTGCGATTGAGTAATCAATCACATCCTGAAATTGATAATTCTGAGATAACGAGCGAGACTTCAGACACTAGGAGGCGAGTCCTCTCTCGTTCACCTCCACTTCTCTAATTCGCCTGGACTCCACGACACCCGACGGGGCCGCTGGATAGCGAGTCTTATGCGACGAAGCCCGCAGTCTACCACAACGCGAGGTCTCATCCGCATCTCGCAAATCTGATATAAAAATCAGAATTTCGCAGTTGACAATTATTAATTTCCTATCAACATAAACAAAATCATTATATTTTAACATAGTATATATGTTGCAATAGGATACATAAAGTCATTCAACATAAATGTAAAGTCAGTATTAAGATCTGGTATTTAACAGCTGTCTGTCAATAGCCGATATAAAAAAAATGTTTCTGTAGCACGAAATGTGTCACTGTATAGTATATTAAGTTTAGGTCGCAAATCGAACCGGTCGCTCTCCACCTTCGTTCGAAACACATTTAATTAAAAATCAATTTAGTTTCTTTATCAATAATGTTTTTTCCATTATAAATAACACAGTTTAATCTATTCCAAAACATGACAGACAACAAATTTCCCACCACCATCCAACCTGCTACCTCCCCCCTCCTTCCTGTCTCCTCCCCTCTCTCCCCCTATACCAACTATAAGGAAGATCTCTCAGGAGCAACTCGGCATCGGGTCGTTCCTCCCTGATGAAGCGGACTGAAATGTTCGCGAAACGTCGGAATCAAACAAAGATGAATCCACGCGGCTCAAACCCGGAAACCAAATCTAATAGTTTAATCTAGTGAAATAAAATTATATTTGATATAAAACACGTTGTTTGAGTCAAACAAATTCAAGTCAAACAGATAGAAGTACCAAATCTGAAAAACTCTTCTCTCTGTGTAGTTTCATGTTGACGCGAAGAGCTAGTGCGCAAGGTGGGGTTTGTCCAAACCGCACGTGTGTCTTAAATTGATTCTTTTTTTCGTAGATTTCTGCATACGTCTAGTCTAACTTGTCGCAACATCATATCGCGAATTGGGAAATATGTTCGACATATTAGAATGGCTCGATCATGGTTAGGATGCCTCTTCATCGTCCTAACACCATTCGTGCTCTTTTACATATATTTGTCGTTAAACGGTAATTGTGATATCACTATCAATCTCTCGTCGAGCACTGAGAACAATGGAACGTTACTTTTAGTACCTTCCGCAGAGCAGAAAGGATCGAAAATTGAAAAGAAATGGCAGTCGTTGTCGCTAGGAACGGAGAGATCGGAGTTGCGGATGGAACGCTTTCCCGAAGGGTCGCAATTAGGAAACAATTTCGAGGTATGGTCGTAAAACTTCCTTTCAGCAGCGTCCGCCACATACGTACGTACTGACGAATGATGCTCTACATCTTCAAGGTGAAATGCGACACTATACACGTGGCCATGGTGTGCGCCGGGTACAACTCGACCCTCACCCTCGTAACCGTAGTGAAGTCCATTTTGTTTTATCGTACGAATCCGTTGCATTTTCATTTGCTCGTCGACGAAATTGCGAGGAGAACGCTTTCGACCCTGTTCCGAACGTGGGATTTACCGCATGGTTTGTACGCTTTTACGGCAGGGCACGCACTACCCTTTGTAACACACGCTGGTGCGGAAAAACCTAATTTTTATCCGCCCTACGTCAGAGAAAGCGCGGGAACGGAATACGGTATATAAAAAGAAATTATTTTTCCCGCACAAACGCGGAACTGCGAAATTCGTCTATTGAATTTTTCGACACACATTCACAAAACATATACATACGCATATATATATATGTGTGTGTGTGTGTGTGCAAAGTTTTATTAAAATTTAAATTTTTGGGACTGAAAGTATTTGCTCGTGAGAGCACGTGTAACCGCAAAGACTCTCAAATATAATATCGTATAAGCGTGGAAAAACGATTTTTTTAAATTTACGCGGCCACGAGTGGCAAATTTCATAATGACGAGAAACTCACTCTGGTAGAAATCTGTACAGTTTTTTCAACCAGTTACTGTCTAGTATTACTGCATTCTCATTAGTTGTATGAGAACTGTGTAGGAAATGAACAAGAATTTGATAGAGTTTTGTAACTGAAGCAGTTTTTTGGTCAAAATATATATAGTTTGCAACTGCTCAGTTATTGTTTGGTATTATTAGATTCTCATAAGTGTACTAAAATTACGCAGGAAATTGACAAAAACTGAACACAATTTTATTGACTAAATTATATATGAAGCTCCTTTATACTATTCAAATAACTAACACAGAAGCGAACACTACTACATCCGTGTTCGCTCCTCATTAGCCTTAAAATCTTTGTTAGTTATTTGAACAGTTTTATTGAATTTATTATTGTGTAATATCTGAGCCAATTCTTTCCAAGACATTGTAATGATGATTTAGTTTTACATGGTGCACATATGATAAAATTTATATTAAATTACTTTATAAGATTTGATTGCCAATTTATAAGATATATATAAGATTTTATTATTAATTTAAGATATTCATATTAAAAGACGATCTTAAAACTGTGTAAAGAATAAGTATAGTAAAACATAGAGCAAGAAAAAAGAAATTGGAGGAAATAAGGAATTTGACACACAGACAAAATCTTGTGGCAGAAATGACAACCAAGATTAGAATTGAAAATGAGCAAGAGACAAGTGGGGTGTATATTAATAATGCAGAATTTTATTGTGACAAGAACATATCAGATTATTCTGATAATAATGATTAATGATAATAATAATGAAATATGATAATATATGATAATAATTAATGAAAATTGTCATGATAGTTTAGACCCTGAATCTAACTAAAATATAATATAACTATAATATAGAGTACCTAGAATATCTAGAGAGTAAATATAGAGTACCTCTTTCATATAGTGTGATAAATTATTAAACATGTTGAGATGTAGATTATTACTTACGCTTACAGTGTATACAAAAATATTTATTACAGCAGAAATTGCAATGAGATTGACAAGTTTCAAAAAAGTTAATAATAAGTTTATGTTTAATACGGCTTTTATTTAATTGCATGACAAGTAAGAATGCTTTGAATATTTTGCTTTTATTATAAACTATTTTTTATTTAATTTATTAATTTATTTATATCGATTTTTCTTTTCGTGTTATAGACATGATATTACTTGACAGAAATATTGCAAATAAATCTATATTTGAGAAAGAATGTCTCAGGCAAAGTATTGTTTGTGCTTGAGTTGTAAGTGCTTGAGGTTCTAGGATGATGCAAGAAAGCAATTTAAAAATATCACCACTATAGTGTCATCTACACCTTATCAAGATTTGTCAGAATTTGAGTAATATACTTGAAAATAATATCACAACAACGTATAGACATTGTTCTTTGTTAATGAAAATAATCAATTGAAATTTGTTTATATAAGAAAATTATGACGACTTAGATGACTTATAAACTTAAAAAAGTCATAGTCATTTTCTTGTGATACTTACAAAATCTAGCATATTTACAAAATATTAGCGTTAAATATCTTGTGTAATAGATAACCCAAATAGCAACGTGACGTCAAAAGACATTATTTCTAGGTCTGTTATTTTTCGAAGAACTTCTGAATTACTGCACACTAGCACAATAAGTTAAAGTGAAAGAAAGAATATTTATTTTAATCTAACTTATTGCACTAGTTTTAGTTAATAGAAGTCTCCCGAAAAAGAACTAACCTATTAGTTTTGTACTATCTAACGATAAACTTAAGATAATCTTAAATATAAAATTTGATTATAAATACGGACGAAGAAGTCATTAATGTATTCTTATTATAACTAAGATTACTTATATAATTATCAACATTACGTTTTGTTATATGTTTATACTCAGTTGGTTTATACTCGGTTGGATAAGTTAAATTTTTCTTTAACTAAGTTAAGTTAAAGTTAATAGCTTTGAAAATTTAATTTAGTTAAGATAAAGTTAATCCATAATGAAATTAATTGAATTAAAAGTTGAGTTAATAAAAAAAAAATTAAAAAGTTAAAAGTTAAATTTGTTTCATTTCATGACTTTAGTTTTACAAATAAAAAAAATAGAAAAAACAAATATACACCTTATTTGAAAACATTTTTTATTTACAGATACTTATTAAATTTAAATAATAAAGTTTTTTCGAAATTTTTATTGGACATTTTTGCTCGAAGATTGTCGAAAATGAGCCCTCCTGCACTGAACAGCCTTTCGACGTCTCGCGATATCTTTATGACATGGTTAACTTCAAGATAATTAAAAGTTAATAGTTACCGATAAAATGTAACTAAGTTAAGTTGAAGCTATTTAACTTTTTAACTTAACTTTTTAACTAGTTACTTCCCAACCCTGGTTTGTACATATGCGTACATATATAAGCGATTTTCTCGATATACTTAAATAATAATATATTTCATTACGTCGTATTATACGTTGTAGTTCATTACGTTGTTTATTACGTTGTATTCATAATATTGATATATCAAGAACTAAAGTTCTTGGAAAGAAATGTCTTAAAGAAAAATTTAGAGATTTCTATGACATATACATCTAAAATATTACAATGAGGTTAATAAAAATTATAATGCAGAAAATCTATGGTGTATAATATATATTGCTATTTTTAGCACAATACAAATTACGTACAAAAAATTTCCTATATTATGACTTTATTTATTCATTAGTTTTACAATCGTAAGCAAGTATGCACAAAATATAAAATATTACTAGCAAAATTGCCTATTTTATGAACACTAAACTTATTTTTAATCGGTTGGATAGTTTCTTTATCTATTTATTCAGTTCAGTTTTTGTTCAGTAAATGGGTTCAGAGTTTGTACATCTTTTGTATGCAGTAATTGCAGGAAAAGCATTACATCTTAATTGGGATCCCAATAGTTTTACTTGTCAGTAAGACAAAAGTTAATATAACTGTTCAGTAATTGTTTAAAAACTGCATGAAATTTCTACCAGGGTCCACGCAAGTGTTTAAGAAACGTCGAAATTTTACTTTATTCGAATATTAAGACTTCATATATAAGACGTATATAATATTTGAATATTCATGCTTTTAGGGCGTGATATATTCGGTAGATGCGTGTTCTACATGTTGTTGAAATTATGCGAATATATGCATGCAACAATTTGAAGACGATATTTCCTTAGCGAAAATGTCGAGAAAGATAATCGTCTGTGCAATTTTTTAATATTTTTGAGCATTTTTACGAGTATAAACTTCAAAATTTTTATTCAAACAAATTCTGTTTATGAAATTAGTTAAAAAACGCAGTGTTGGTATTCATTTGACTTTCTAAAATTTAATTTGCGAAAAGCCCTCCATTTTCAATTGCTTATAATTCGAAAATTATACTGGTCTGCAAAAGGGAATCTTTTTCTGATTAATTCTTTTTTCTTATATTTAATATTGATAATACTTCAGTATGAAAAAATTTAGAATGAAATCAAATTGCAAATTGCGTGAAATGTCACATATATGCGAGGAAAACATTGTAGTAAAATTTATGTTCAAATCATATATTTTTTACAAAGCTGAATACAATATTTTTTATAAAGCTGAATATACTGGAATTGTAAGACAAAAACTATAAAGACAGTAAATTTGACAATCTAGGTATACAATATAAAAAAAACATTCAACTAATTACAACAATTTTGTTATATAAAGTCATGACACTTTTAAACAAATATATAGTAATTTCGATCATAATTTTGTACGAAATAATATTACTAAAATTTCGATGTAATTTTTACTGAAATATTTTCTCTATATACAATATATAAAATCTCAGGTAACTGTCACAACAAAACTATAGATGAAATTAAATTAATTTATTTAATTGCAGATGCAATTTGAACTATAGGTGAAATTTTCATTTTCGAATTCTACGCATAAAAATACATAAGAGACATATAAAAGAAGTTCTATGTAAATTACTAGTTGATCATTGTTATTGATGGCTCGACAATTTCTCCGAGGAAAATTCAACTTCAAATTAGAGGGCGAATCTAACGTTAAAATGAACATGGAATAAGATATTCTGTATGCATATCCCGCTGGATTGATCGGCTGACATGATTATATTTTAGTGAATGTAACGTTCTACGGCACCGAGATGTGGGTGCCGAGGGTGTCGTGGATACCGAACAAGCATTATTCGGGGGTGTACGGTCTCTTGAAGTTGATACTGCCGGACGCGGTACGAGAGGACAAAGTGCTCGTACTGGACACGGATGTAACCGTTTTGAACGACGTGAGTCTGTTGTGGGGAATGTTCGAAAAGTTCTCGACCGGCCAGACTTTGGGCTTGATCGAGAATCAGAGCAACTGGTACATAAAAGCGCTGTCGTACGGCCAGCGACCGTGGCCGGCGCTGGGTCGGGGATTTAATACGGGCGTCATGCTAATGCACTTGCAACGGCTCCGCGACGGGAAATTTACAAGCTCGTGGGAGAGCGTTGCTAAGCGCGTGCTGGAATACATACCAAAGACCAGCCTGGCCGACCAGGACGTGATAAACGCGGTGATCAACGAGCATCCAAGTATTGTATATAGAATCGAATGTACCTGGAACATACAGCTGAGCGATCGCACGATAAGCGACACGTGTTATCGCGACAGCAATCGTATAAACGTACGTCGTCGCTGCAACTTCTGATTGCCCGGCACGGGCCGGGATGATACCGATCGATTGACCGAGTGCGTCGTTTACTTTTAGATTCTCCATTGGAATTCGCCCCGAAAGCAAAACGTGCGCAATAAACACGTTAACGAGTTCCGAAAATTGCACCGGGTCTTCCTCGAAATGGACGGCAATTTGTTGCGAAGACGCTTATTCGGCTGTGATAAGCACGAGAGTGCGCTTCCAGTGAGTTAAAGGATCCTCCTCCTCCTCTTCTCCTTCCCTTCTGCTTCTTATTTTACTTTCATTTCACGTTGAATGTGCACCGTCAGAGATTTTTGTCGCGCACACATTGTTCCAGTACAACGAATCGAGCCCGTGTCGAGAGTTCGAGAAAGGCGCCAGCATTTTGTATCGTACACACCCATTTCTCCTGGAATACGATTACAACATATACTCGCCGATGGACGTTGCTCTGGTCACCCAGTGTAGCGTCGAAAGGATACCGCTGTTGGAAGCGTTATCGAAACACTGGCCGGGAACTATAAGCGTCGCGATTTACCTGACCGACGCTGAGGTCCAGAACTTTCTGGACTTCGTGCAAGGCTCTGCAGATTTGCGGGCGAGAAGGAACATCGCTTACCACGTCGTGTACAAGGACGGAGTGCGTTGCGGTATCCTTAATCTTGAAGAGCGCAAGCGAATTAGCTTGAATGTTTAATGGCAAAATCGTCATTTCCCAAATAGACTTTCACGATTAACACGACATAAGACAATCGAATAATGGAAACTTTCCAATTTTTTTTATTAGGCTTATGAGGCAAATATACCGTATTGAACTAATCATTAGATTTACATTACATAATAAGTAATTCTTTTATTATACGTATTAATACAGTAACAAATGTATTAAAAGTTATACTCAGATTTTTATATTACATTTTACGTGACATTATTTCGAGTAAATTTTGGTAATGTTTTCACGTATTTCTTTCGTTACTATTTCTTCATTCCAGGTGATTGATATGAGTGCCATATTAATTATTCATAATGGATGCAACTTTTACAAATCGAGTAAAATTCCCAGATAGACTTTCATGATGATCACAACGTTAACTGATAGATAATATATGTGTAGAAACTTTACAATTATTTTAAGACTCCTGGCTCCTCGCATTGTCAATCTCTTTTTAATGACGTCAGAAATGAGAAAATGCATACTAAAAATTCTTGCGAAATATGTTGAAATAAAAAGATATATCTATAAAGTGGCACTTGCAATCGATTAAATAAATCTGTGAAATATTCCGTATATTCCTCTTTTGCTTTAATAATCAATAATTTGTCGTCAATTAAGCTAAATAGAAATAGGTGAAGAAATAAGTTAAGAAGATGAACTGTATGTACGTTAATTTACAACAAATTATTGATTGTTAAAAGGGGAGTGCAAAGGGGAATATCTTACAAATTTGTTTAATTGATTACAACTGTTGCTTTATGGATATAAATATTTTTATTTCAACGTATGTCGCAAGAATTTTTAGTATGCATTTTTTCGCTTCTGACGTCATTAAAAAGAGATAGACAATGTGAGGCAATGTGAGATAGACAATGTGAGAAATCTTAATTATATTTATGCAGCAAGTGTACAGAGTGTTTCATTTTGGATTGAAAGTATTAAAATGAAATTATCGAAAAATGAATGTTTTGTGAGATGTCACGTACTGTGAGTAAAAGTATCTGGATTGCTGCCACATTTACATATACATGTCTACCTGGGTTCTCATATTTCCAAGTATTAAAATGGTCAATGGAATAATAAAATATTATATTTTGTCAATGAATTTTATATTTTATTCACGTCATAAAGAACTGTTTTTCTACGTTTTAAAGTTGCGCTCTTCAGGCTTGAGTATTAGCGTCAAATGTACAATGATCAATATTACGTCGCATTATATCCTAAAAATAAAAATTAACCTAACCTAATCTTTCAAATTATTATCTCTAGGAACTTTATCCTATCAATTACTTACGAAACACTGCGATGTTATACGTGTCGACCCCATTCATCTTTCAACTTGACATTGACTTTTTGCCGCAATTCGGATTACATGAAAATATTATGAGTTACATTAATAAATTGGGTATAACCGAGTCGCACAAGATAGCTCTAATCGTGCCAGCATTCGAAACCGAGCGTTACAGGTAATTCTTTGCCGTCACGATGTCAAAGACAGCTTAATTTTAGTGTCTTGTAAACGATATAGCTGTTTTTTACAGATTTGATTTCCCGGCTAACAAGGAAGAATTGCTAAAGTTTCTTAAACGTGGCATTTTGTATACATTTCGCTATCACGTCTGGACGCAGGGTCACGCTGCCACGAATTATAGCATTTGGCGAAGTAGCTTGGAACCATACGAAGTGCGTGTTAGATGCGTAAAATATGACACCATTTTCTCTCTAGACTATTTACAGTATCTTGAAATTCCAGACATGCGTGGCGTGAAGTGCAAGAATTCATCAAACTAAACGAGAAAGTCCTATAATATTTTGCAATCAACCACGTAAAATATTGAATTGTTAATTAAAGAAACGGGGTGAATAAACGCGTTTGAAAGATGTGATACAGAGTGCGATTGGAAAAGGACTGAGAAAAAGGGAAAAACGTGTTTTTTTCGATTTTTTCATTAAGCTTAGAAAAATTCATTTCTTTCGAAAAAATTATGTAAAAGTTTTTTCGTCTAATTTAATTTAAATGTCACATTACATACATGGTATAAGATTATAGAAATTATTCTTATGGCAGAATAAAGAAAAATTTCGTTACATGCACTTTTATATTTCTTTTATGCAAAAATTAGCATGCAAATGCTAGTATATTTTCCATGAAAATATTAGCAAATATTAGTAAGTAAATTTTGTTAGATGCATTTTTATATTTTTTTTATGCAAATATTAAAATGATAATAGAATTGACGAAGAACTCTCTTGAGACTGCAAATACAATACAAAAGTGTGAGGAGTTTTTCAGATTCTTAACTTCTTAACATATAAATGCTATTTGTAAATAGATTATTAATTGCAACATCCAATATTATCTCTGTCATTACTTAAGATATGATATAATAAAGCACTTTTGAACTTCGGTTAATCTCAAAGCAGATGGTTAATCATATTCCTGAATTCTGTCCCTGAAATCAATAATAAAGAATAAAACAAGTCCATGATTTACGTATGAGCACAAACATATCATAAATTCACCAAGACACAATGGATGAAAAAGAAAGAAACAAATAAAATTAAGCTGTATTTTCTAATATAAACATATTATTCTAAGTTTATCGTAGAGTTCATATATCAAAATAAGTCTTCCTTAGTATTCACAGTGTATCAACTATCATTTTAATTAGAAGATATTGTTCAATAATGTTATTTTGAAAAGCATATATTTTTATTGAACTTTTTTATCCCTTATATTCCAGTTATTTTTTTTAATTTTCAATCAATACTAATAAAAATAAGACTGGTATTGTATGAATACATATGTTATTGTCTCAAATTTCAGTATACAGTATTCAGTAAGTAATAGACGTTATTACTGTGTCGATACACTGTCAGATGACATATGTTTTTTCAGCATAAAATTTAAATGCGTGCGAGACTTTCGGTTTTTCGACTATTGGCTTTCGAATTTTAACAAATACACTAAATAATAGGCTATTCAAGGTAAACTCCCTGACTTTTTAGTTTAAGTTAAAAGACGTAAAATGTGAATACAGTCGTAAGAATACTAGGAAGTTACGTTTATCTTAACAAATAACAATTAATTTTGTAAAAAAACAATTTTTTCCAAAAAAAATATTTTTTCTCGAGAAAACATTTTTTTGTTTTTTCTGGGGAATCTAATTTTTCCGGAAAAATAATACTAGACGTGATGGTAGATATGCTATCCGTTGTAAACTTGTACAGTAAATAAAACTGTACAAAAACGTCTTTTACTATTTTGCAAATAACGACATAGATTTTTTAAATTATTAATTGAAGAAAAATGGCGAAATATTACGTATGTTCGGTTGCTAAATGGTTTTCGCTTCATATGGAATAAAATTATAACGATTTAAGTTGAAAACCACTACTGACATGTATATATCAGTAGTAATCAGTTGTAAATGTATAAAAATTACTTTTCAAAATAATGCTCTCTTAATTTGAAATAAATCCTTTCTTCCAAATTTCCAAGTATTATGTTCTGTATTGTCACTTCCATTCGTGTCAAATCCGATTATTGCGCTTCACGTCATAGTGGCTTTTAATTCTGACAGCTTGAAGCGCTCGAACTTCATTCGATAAAAAGTGTGAAAACCGTTTAGCAACCGCAAGTGTACAATCATTTCTTACAAGTAAACCTACCCAAAAATTAGACTCCGATTTATTTTTAATTTGGCACAAATGTAGAAGTATAAAAAAATACTTAGGTGATATTTTTTATTTTGGTCCACTTTGAGTTTCATGCGCAGTTTATAGCTTTTTAATGTTCTCACTCCTATCATCAACAAGTGCAATAAAAATGCATAAGAAATAAAATTGAATACAAGATATAGGCGTTTTTTGGTTTGCTGATTATGAATATGAAGTCAAATGTGTAAAATTATTTGTATAAATAATAAAATGTTTAAACAAAACATGTAAAAAGCTGAAAAAAGTTATTTATACAAATAATTTTACACATTTGACTTTATATTCATAATCAGCAAACCAAAAACGCCTATATCTTGTATTCAATTTTATTTTATTTCTTATTTTATCTCTTCATTTTTGTTGCACTTGTTGATGATAGGTGTGAGAACATTAAAATCTATAAACTGCCTGTAAAGCTCAAAGTGGGTCAAAATGGAAAGATATTTTACCTAAATATTTGTTGTATTTCTATATTTGTGCCAAATTAGAAAGAAATCGGAGTGTACCTTTTGGGTAGGTTTACTTGTCAGTAATCTTTTCTTTAATAACTTAAAGATCTATTTATTTGTAAAATAAAAAACGACATTTTTGTTCAGTTTGATCTAAAGTACATATATACAACATGATATCGTACTTTCATATTCTGTATCGCATTGAGCGCGACTATTCACCAATCACCTTTAATTGATAATATTTTACATGGTTGTTTTCAAAATGTATAAGACTTTTTTATTCAATTTAATGAGTTTTACTCGCACATGACGGCTGTATCTGGACTTTTCGGAAACTCACTATATATTATTATAATAAATAAAGCAAATACAAAGTTTATAATAAATATACGGAAAAGATAAGCGAAACACGAATGTAATGAGAATGGATCGTTGCAGGTATCCTGGGAGCCGGATTTTGAACCTTACATAGTAGTTTCGAAATCCGCTCCGCGATATGACACGAGGTTTATCGGGTTTGGATGGAATAAAGTTTCCTACGTGACCCATTTAACAGCGTTAGGTTATAAGTAAGCCGCAATAATTTGGTTCATCCGTTTAATGAAATATGCGGCTCGCGGGCGGTCGATTCAATGCAGCGCCTGATATGCTATTTAAAGAGAAAACTGAAACGTTTTCTTTTTTTTACAGGTACATAGTTTTACCAGACACGTTCATCATTCATCGACCTCACGCTCCTAGTCTAGACATCGGCAAATTCCGAACTGATTCTATTTATAGAAGGTAATAACACGTGTGTTCTTTGTTTAATGGGGATTTTTCGTCGAAGCGACCTGCTGTCTGTTCGCTTCGCTTTTTACGAGATTTACAATTTGTGTGTTATTTGTTTTACAGGTGTCTTAAGAAATTGAAGGACGAATTTGTCAAAGAATTGATGGAGAAATACGGTGAGACTGCGTTATCCAAACTAAAGAAAGAAACCAAGAAAGAGAAAGATTAAGAGAATATGATATTTTATAATGATTTATTTAGAAGATATAACTATACGATATAAAGAGAGCGAAGCGTATTATATTTTTGTCGATGATGAAGAAATGTATGGAGGATATTTTCTTAAGAAAAATATACACACATTTAAATGAAATATGTTTTACGTCTATTTATTGATACTAAGAATAATAGAGGTACCTAAAGTAACGGGTGGAACAGAAAAGATAACTAAATGAAAACGTGAGGGGTTGGGAAGTATTTATTAAAATTTAACTCATATATATATATTTAGTGGAGTGTACAGAGTGGTGCTTTCAGTACATTATCGTAATATTACAATCACACTAAATATTTCATTTATAAAATATGTATAATATTTACAGCGCGCGCCAGTGTTTTAATACATAGTATAAATCATAGTGGCTAAAAACATCGTATCGAATTATAAAACTCATTATAATAAGGTGTTTATAATAAGGTGTATTCCTTGTAAATAATTACAATAATGACGACAATAATAGCAATGTTGATAATGGTATAAACTTAACAGTGTAATAATTAGGATGCGAAATTTCGCGAGGTTACGTGGCGAGTCCTACTCGGATAAATCCAAATTGCGTTAATCTTCCTTTCGTCTCGCAACGCGAATCGTCAATACGATTGTAGGACCGTGTAATGTAGAACCATTCGATTGAGAAGACCCGATGTGAAACCTCACGACTTCCGCAACTATATTAATAATCATATAGTATTATATAAAATGTGTAAAAGCTACAATAATATTATAAAAATATTAATAGTACATCAATAATAATAACAATAATAATAGTATTAATAATAGTGATAATAATAATAATACTAACATTGATACATGTTAATAGGAATAACGACAGAAGTATATCCTGGCGAAAATATTGGCGGTCGTGAAATTTCACGTCGACCGTCGCGACATTCCTAACTCACGTAGAATCTGGCAAAAACGCGGATGTTATATTACGGATTAAGATTATTATCTACAACATGAACACGCAAATACAAATCATTTACATTCACATTATCGTTCCGATTTATCTCGATAGAAACATCTCTCATTCTTTTTATCTCGCACAATCTCACGTTACTCTCATTGTGCAAGACACGAAATTGTGTCAATGAAATGTTACTTTTTTGTTTGTTTTTTTTTTTCTTTTTTTTTTCTTTTTGATTCACGATGTAATTCACAGAGAAATGTGTACTTGTTGAGTTAGCCAGATGCGATTCATGCTAGATACACCATAGCCCCACGTGTTAACGGAATTATTATTACGTAATTCACGTCTCATGTGTGCGGCGCTTTGCATGCTCGTTTTTCATCTTACACGTGCACTAAATACGTTTCTTCTCGAGATTTAGCGCCATTGGGAATGGCGATTAGGCAGTTTCAACGGTAATTGGTGCGCAACGGAAACAACTCGTTACATTCAACTAACTAACGTTCGTTTCGTGACGAATCGTTATGGGAACGTTATGGGAATAGCCATAATTCGAAAATCTAGTTTCGTTTACTTGTTCAACGATAATAACCATCCACATTTGCGCGTAATTTTTTATTATTGACCAATTATCTGTTAGAAAATGTTCTATGTTAGAAAAGAAGCGACTTTACATGCTAAATGGCGTGTACCGCACCAGAGTCAATCTGAGGAAAATTCATGACAGTATTACACATTGATTAATGCGTTGTCGTATCAATTTCCCTTTCGTCGATAAATAACGGAAAAATGCGCCCATGGAGTCCCACAACAGCGTAAACCAGAAGATATTCTAACTCTAAAAATGTCAGTCTTGAATAACGAATAATTAGGTCATCTACCGAATACTTTTGACCGCTGTACAAGTAATGTGATCGGGAAAATAATTCCGTGAGAGAGAATAATTGTAACGATTTGTAGGCCCATAAAATAAATTTAGCGGAGCAAAGAACTCGTAATTGCGACAGATCTTTCATGAACATACCAGGAATGTATGTGCACGTTCTAAACGGTTCTAATCTTCACTGAAGAATAATATCCAATTTCTCAGAAAAACCAGGCGGAGCGGCTCGTTAAAATGCGCATAGCATTCTGCACGTTACAATAATCGAGTACAAAATTATCTCACGGAATGTGCTCACAGCTGGCTAGGGAGAATGCTAAGTATTCGGCATGATACATTTTAAGTCTGTACGAATGCTCTTCTCACTGAACTCTACTCTACGTACTGCCGTATGTACTGCCTTGTAAAAAACATTCTAATTAGACCCGCGCAAATAATTGCTCGAAAAATGGCAAGAGTTGGACCGGTCTACTGGACGGTACCTGCGATTGATCGCTCTCGATTGGCGTTTTGAGAGGGATTTCTGAAGCGTCACAACTGAAACCATCATGTGTCGTATTCTCCGTTACATACGTTCTATGCGCGAAATAATCGAGAACGAAATCCGAGAGATAGGCCGTTTATTGAAATCACGTAAGCGTTCGCAACGCGTTGTATAATGAATATGTTAAAATTGATAAAACGACGCTACTGCTAATTCCGAAAAATACAGAGACGAGAGACTCTGCTGTCCCTGGGCGGCGCGTACAAATGAGAACAGCTCGCTAAATACGCTTACCCGCGTCAGTCGTAAATTACCCTATTTTAATGTAAATTGCCGTTCACTTTACGAGCGCGCGTACAAATCGAAAGGTATTGGAAGCGAAGAGTGTGCGTGCACGATATTTGGAATATCGTGTAAACAACACGGCGGCGGCAGTCGGATGGGAAATTGAGCGCGGAGAATTCGCGATGTACATCGCGTTGTCATGAAAGTGTTAAATGACCTCGATGTGAGGCGCGTTTGTTCGTGCGATGTCACGGTTTTAATTTCACCGCCGGGGGTATATTAACGCATATCAACCATCGGCCCGGCGACGCGTCCTTGTGTGATGAATAACACAATTACGTACATCTAGAAATAACGACTAAATGAAATTTCCTTTCCTTTTTTTTCTTTCCCGGTCGACAAGGGTTAAAATATTAGTAAATCGCGAACGATGACATGATTTTCTTTCGTTAAAGAGAGATTCTGATTTAGCGATTTTTTTCAAAAAATGAAGAAAGATATGAATATAGAGTTTTAGCCATATTATTCATCACTGTTTTAAGAATAAAAATGTTAAAAAATTGATAATTTCGTCGTTCAGGTTTTTTGTGTTAAGCGCAACGTCACCGGACGCCTCCTAATTGGTGGGCAACGTTACGTGCAAAAATTAAAAAAAAAGAAAATCCAAGAACTATATTAAATTTACTGAAGGATGAATCTTTGTTCTATACAGAAAATCGAAATTTAATAAAAATGACAGCGCTATATGTAATTTCTTTTCTCTTTCTTTTTTACTTAGTATCTCGGAAAAAATAAAATTTGGAAATTTTCACAGGGAATTTAGATTTATTTTCTAGCAAATTTAATACAAGTTTCTAAATTTTCTTAACTTATTGTTTCAGGTTATTACACAAGCTATAATGTTGTTTACTAGTTAGAAGTGTTCGGCAATATCGTATTCAGCGCAAAAAACCTAGACAACATATTTCAATACTTTTTTAAAATAATAAT